ACAATCACGCGCGCGCGCGCGCACACACACACACAATCTCTCGCAATCTTATCATATCTACAATTTTTCTTTTCTGAGAGTTAAGAAATAATTAAATAAATATGAATAATAAAATGAATGCGGTACGGAGCAGTCCAAATATCTTAAGAGTGAACAAATAACTACACGAGCAGCCCTTAACAAATATAGTTAATGTTTGAAGAAAAATTATATAAAGAAAATCCGAGTTTTATATTCATTTATATCAAATAAAAAATAAATAAAAAATCTTATTTTCGAAGTTAGTTATCATATTAAAAATTTAAAAGAATTTTTAACTATATTCAATCAAGTGATCAGCAATGGAATTTAATAAACTAATGAATTTTGAGGATATACTTTTTTTCTTCATTTTAAGGGAGGGATTATTTAACGCCTATATGACTTACGTTAAATTAAGATCTATTAAGGGTCCGTTTGGGTAGTTTATAAGTGCGGGGCCGTACCGTTTGGTTCGCGCGTTTCGCCAGCTTATCCGAAATTGCGTTTGAGTTTTTATACTAAACGCAGGCCGCAGTCGGCCCCTGCGGCCGGCCCGCGGGCCATGTTTCAGGATAAACAGTTTATCTTGAAACGCACAAGCTGCCCCAACTACCCTAAACGGACCCTAAATCTAGATTTATCAAATCCAAATTTTATAAATTCAGGATAGTGTTTGGTTTAATTTATGACTAAATTCATTAAATTTGTTTACCGTGTTCGATATAAATCCACTCTCATAACTTTTTTGCTAATCTAAATTCATTAAATTCGCCTAAAAATCGGATTTAATATATCCAGATTTAAGCCAAAAACAAAATAACTCAGAGGAAGGATAATTATATTTAGTAAATTACAGCTTTAATTTCTCCTTTTTTTATTTAGATGAATTTAGAATTTAAATTCTTTTCCCACTGAAAAACACCATTTTTTTTATTTTTGGCAAGTTATAAATTGATAAATCCAACTCTCCTGGTAGCCATTGCACCGATGAAGCATGAAAGCAATGGGAGTAAACAAAAACAAAAGGATTCAGAAGTGGGAGGGTGGGAAGTACTGACCCACGTTTTCTTGTACATTCCTATGGTGAGGTTACCAGGCTCGAGCAAACCGTTGTGAATGCGGTAGCCCTGGAGTCGAGGCATACCCGGCAGCTCGTCGACGAACATCTCGAGACGGGTGACGTTGACGAGACCAACGCCGCCGGCGAGAGATCCGCTAATCGCCCATGCAAGAAGGAAGAGAAGGAGAAGGAGAAGGAGGAGAAACTTCGCCATTGGCGTATTGCCCTCTCTACCACTCCTTTCCAGAACCAGAAAAAAACAGAGAAACAATAGTGGCCTGTGGGCCTTGTGCCGTTTTCTTCCACTTCTTTTTAGAGCCGGGAAAACTGAAGAAGATCAGTGGCGTAGTTTAAAGAAAGGGGAAGGGATTCGTCACTATCGACCAAAAAAGCATCACGGCTCCCCAAAAAAATTTTGAGATTTTGTGCTGTATCGAAATAATCTTAAAGCCGACAATTAAATTTATGGAATTGGTCAAAAAGAATTTCGAAGTTACAGAATTCAAAGCAGGCCTAGAATTCGCGCGAACCATTTCAGTTATGGACAGAATTATTTACAATTATTTTCGGAGGAGGAGAAGGACCTTTTGGAAACTGAGAGAGAAGGGGTTTTGGGCCTTGTGGCGTCGTTTATGGAGGATTGCTTGAAGGACAAATTATGGTGGGATCGTGGTCTACAAGCACAATCACGTGGGAAGCGGGAATTTGCGCATGCAAGGCAAGAGGAAGCGAAGAGCCAAAGGGGATCACCTAAGTGCAGATGCCAGCTCGACATACACGACTGCCTGTTATACTTTTCCAATTGATGCCTCAGACATTTCAAT